CTGTCCTTCTGCTCAGCCCTGCCCCCCCACTACAGCCACTAGCCCCTACGACATGTCTTAGACCCTCTTGTGTGTCTCTTATAACTCCACTTGTGTATCTTTCTTTCCCCAGCCCCTTTGTGATTCTCCTCCCCCTCCCCCCCCATTCGTTTTGCGTGTCTCCTTCTTCCTCACCAGTCCCTTCTTGTGGCTCTCTCCCCTCAGCACATTTTGTGTCTTTTTCCATGGGATTCATAGACTTAGATATATAGCAACACACTATTGCTATTGCTATTTCCTATCCTATTGTGTTTTACACCACACCTCCTATAGACTGTCATACAAATACAGACACACACATAGACACACATTCAGACACTGTCATACAGACACAGGCATACAAAGACATAGATATACAGGCAAGGCCGGCGCTACCATAAGGCAACACAGGCCTGCCTTAGGGCGCACTGGCCCTGGGGGTGCAATGTCAGGCTGACCAGCAGGAGGGAAGCACACTGAGCTCCTCTCCAGTCGGTTACTTCTTAGAGCGTGGCCGAGCGCAAGCGCCCCGTACCCTCGGCAGAGCCCAGGCACTTACCATCCGCCCAACATACTGCCACCCGAGGAGCCTCCTACACTGGTGTCTGCCAGAGGCTGTGTGGGGAGGGCAAGTATATGAATTACATCATATCCCTGCTTCCTGTGTGCCACACAGCGTGGCTGGTGCCCAGTGATGGGGCTGGATTGCAGGACGGAACTCCACAGAGACGGACAGCATGCGCCTCATGGACCAGATTGAACAGATGTAAGTATGTTATTGTGACTGTCTGTGTGTGTATGTATGTATGTCTTTATATATATGTATGTCTCTGTGTGCATGTATATCGCTGTGTGCCTGTATGTATGTATGTCTCTGTGTGCATGTAGGTCTCTGTATGTATGTATGTCTCTGTATGTATGTCTCTGTGTACATGTTTGTCTCTGTATGCCTGTATGTATGTATTTCTCTGTATGCATGTATGTCTCTGTATGTATGTATGTCTCTGTATGCCTGCATGTCTCTGTATGTGTGTTTATAAACAGGGCCGCCACCAGAAATTTTGGGGCCCCTAACTCAGCTCAAGGTCTGGGTCCCGCCTTCAATCCCGCCCACAGGATCCGCCTCCAAATGCCGCCCACAGGAATACACACACAGACACAAAAACACACACTGATACAAAAGGACACATATACACACAGATAGATACTAACAGACACACATACTGAAACAGACATACACGCATATAGGCATTCATACTGACACACACATACTGAGATATACACATATATACAGACCCACAGGCATACATAGTGACAGACACATACTAACATACATACAGACACACATGCATGAGGACATACACATACATACACCGACATACATACACACAGATATACATTCATACAGACAGACATACAGACACTGACATCCATACACACATACATACATACATTCATAATGGCATACATTCATACTGGCATATATACAGACATACATACATACATTCATACATACTGATGTACATGCATACTGACATCCATTCACACATACACACAGACATACGTTCATAATGACATGCAGACATACATTCATACTGACATACATGCATACATACAGACATACATTCATATATACATACATACATAATGACAGGGGTCTTCAAACTTTTTAAACAGGGGGCCTGTTTACGTTCCCTCAGACACTGTTGGGGGCCGGACAATAAACAATATGAACGAATTCCTATGCACACTGCACACACACACATAAGGACATAAATACACACACACACAAACAGACAGACACAAACATATACATACATATTGAAATACACACAGACAGACATGCATACATACTCATACTGACTTACACACACAGACATACATACTTACATTCATACTGACACATACATACAAACATACATACTGACATACAAACATACATACATACATACTGACACACACAAACATACATACTGACGTACATACATACTGACACACACACAAACATACATACGCACACATACATATTAACATACATACATACTGACACACATTACATACATACATACACACACGCATACATACATACATACTGACATACATATTAACATACATACATACATACATACATATTGACATACATACATACATACTGACATACATATTAACATACATACATACATACATACATACATATTAACATACAGAAAGACAGACATACATACATATTAACATACAGACATACATACATATTAACATACGTACATACATACAGACACATATTAACATACATACATACATACTGACATACATATTAACATACATACATACATACAGTCATACATATTAACGTACATACATATTAACGTACATACATACTGACATACATATTAACATACATACATACATACAGACATACATATTAACACACATTCAGACATATTAACATACATACATACTGACATACATACATATTACCATACAGCTAATTTTTCTTACCTTTTTTGCAGGTAGAAAGCTGTGGCTGATGGGAGTCAGCGTGGCTCCCGCGGCCTGGCTTTCTTCCCTCCCGCGCGGCACGGAGGGGAGGGGAAGGAGCTGGGAGGAAGTGACGGCCACTTCCTCCCAGCAGTACTTTGCGGCTGAGATTTTTTTAAAGGGGCCCGGTCGCGCAATTGCACGGCCGCAGCGCTGACTGGGCCCCTGAAGACACAGGGCCCATCGGGTGGCCCTAAGTGCGTGGGCCATCCGATGGGCCCCAACAGCGTGCGGGCCACGGTGCAACTGCACCGGCGGCAGTTTCGCCGCTACACGTGGGGACGGGCTGCCACCGGGCCTGTGACAACCATCATGGTTGTCAGCCCCTGATGGCGGCCCTGTTTATAAATGTATGTATGTTTCTGTATGCCTGTATGTCTCTGTATGCCTATATGTGTTTGTCTGTATGTATGTATGTCTCTCTATGTATATTTGTATGCGCCTGTATGTCTTTGTATGCCTTTGTTATTGTATGTATGTTTCTGTTTGCCTGTATGTATGTGTCTGTATGACTGTATGCCTGCATGTCTCTGTATGTCTCTGTTTGCATGTATATCTTTGTATGTATGGATGTCTCTGTATGTTTGTATGTCTCTGCCTGTATGTCTCCGTGTGACTGTGTTTGTATGTCTCTGTGTGACTGTCTCTGTATGTCTCTGTGTCTGTATGTCTCTGTATGAATATGTCTGTCTGCCTTTATTGTTGTGTAAGTATGTATTTTAACCTGCATATCAATGTCTACATGGCTTGGGAGGAAAGATACACAAAGGGATCTGGAGGGGAGGGACACACAAAACGGACTAAGGGGAGAAAGAGCCACACAGAGGGACTGTGGTGGAGAAAGAGAAAGAAAGGGGTTGAGGGTAAGAGACACAGAAAGGGGCTTGGGGTAAGTAAGAGACATACAAAGAGGGTTGTAAGACACACTAAAGAGGGAATAAAACACACTAAAGCACAAAAGGGGTATTACATTCAAAAGAGGGGATAAGAAATTCAAAAGGGGGGAGTTACAAGACCCCCCCCCCTTTTGAATTTCTTATCCCCTCTTTTGAATGTAATACCCCTATTGTGCTTTAGTGTGTTTTAAAGACGCACTTTTTTTTAACGGGGGGGGGGGGACAAATTGCATCTTCGCCTGTGTAGCTCAAAAGCCTTGCACCGGCCCTGATTATGTGCAGTGTGTACTGGGATATTGGCATTTCTAGCAAAATAACCACTATAGTGTTTTATAGTGATTATAGTGCCTGGAGTGTTTCTTTATTATTATGTAATTTGGCCCCTCAAAACTTTCAGCTCCCAGCCCATGAGGCCCTGACTACTTTGCTTTTAGCTCCTAATTTATGTGGGCTGGGATCTGCTTTAGGGATGTTTGTGAAATGTGAAGAGACACTATATAATTTTAATGATGTCAGAGAATCCCGGAATGTTGTAAAATGTAAATTACACTGTTTGTTGTGTGGTGAGGAAGTCGCTTAATTCAAAAGTTTTATTGGTCTTCTGCAAATTAACTATCATGGTTTTTGTATTAGGTGAATTTTGAAGATTGTGCAAGTGAGACAGTTGTAACGTTATACAAAAAAAAAAATTGAAGGGTAAGGAGTGTCGTATATAATTTACTGCAAACCAATTAGTTTGAATGACTATCTGTTCCTGTCCAAATTAAAGATAATAAAGTTGCGTGCACGCAGAAGTAAATTCACACTGAGACACAAAGTTCAGGTTAATGAAAGAACTTCGGAGAAGTTTAATGGCTTCTGACAGAAAATGGGTGCGCAGACCCTTTTAAAGGCATTAATACATCATTGAAGAAAATCAAGATATAGACAAATAGACATTGTTAATTGGCTTAGGTGCTAAGATGTTAGTAAAATGCCCTCCCTATGGGGTGTACCATCTTAAGTCACTATCCTTCGTCATGATTGTCGCCTCCAGGTTTTAGCGCCATTTTGCTAACATGAGGAGCTCACTCGACGGGAGGGGTCTTTTGGCAGCTATCCATTTAGAGCGTAGCTGGCATTTGTTAGTTTCTCAAGGTTAGGTTTCAAGGCTTTTAGTAAATACACATTTTATCAAAGCTATTTCTTGCTGGCATGCAAATTCTATGTTCTATAGACAAAGCTTTCTTGTAAAACTATGGGGGCCTCTTAGAGGTATAGCAAGAGGATTTACAGGGGCCTTACAGATTTATAGAGGCCTAATAATTCTACAACAGGAGTAGGGGGTTACGAATGCATTCCTAGAATGGTGGGTACAAGCAGAGTGCAATAAATGCTTGAAAGAAATAGTGCAGTTTGTGATTAGAATAAAGATTTTATTTTGTTTACATAATATAACATGTATATACTTTATATATAATATAAAATAATTACAGCATGTTTACAGAATGTTAAAAAAATTGCATTATGATCACCTACTATCTTGAATTTCGAAAACAAGTTATTTTGGAACTGTAGAAGATGTTGAGGATGTGACGACTTTTTTGTATTAATAATTGATTTTATATATGAATTAATTTGGATCATTCAATCTGCATGAAAAACTAAAAATAAATTTATTTGGATTAGTTGAGCTATCTCATTAGATGGAAGGGGGCTCAAATTGCCAGCACGGCCTCTTATGAATATGTTTTATTGTGTAAATAGGCTTTGTTTCCAATTAGATGAGGAACATATGCTTACATTTTAAATCAAAGATTTTATATATAACATTTGGTAAATACTAATAATACTCCATATTGAAAGCCATTTTGGCTGAGTCGTCCAGAATTATATTTACATCAAAAGTCAAATATTTTAAAGTAACCATCCAAATATATCACAGATTTGCTTGGTTTAAACATGTCATTTGTATCAAAATGTAAAGATAAAGTTATTCTAATAGATATCTGTAAAAGTATGAAGTGTTGACACAATATACTTGTGAGCATGTTCCCCTCCCACTAACTGACCAATAGGGTAGTAGGAGGAGGTATTTAAACAGAGGCAGGACAAAGTCACTTATATCGCCTTTAAAAAGTTGTCATTACCGTCGGCACACCAATATTCTGCATACATTTGGCACTCCAAGGACAGACATCAGAAGCACTTGCACACTACACCTGGCACTTTGAACGGATGCCTCCTACAACGCTAAACTCTCCGAACTTAGCAGATACCAGCAGCAGAAACGTCTTACTATCTCACGCCAATGCGAAAAGGGAGCAAAAGATATCCATAATGGGCTAATTAGACAGAATACGCTCATTGCACTTATTTATAGACCGATTCTGTTTAGTAAGTGCATTTACATGTAGCAGCATGTTTTTTATTTTATGCAATGTTGCCCTATCATTATAATTATTGGTATTTATATTGCGCCAACATATTCCGTAGCACTTTACAATATTACAGGGGGGGCAGGGGATTTAACGATAGATGAGACAATTACAAAATGTTGATGAGAACCCTGCTCAAACGAGCTTACAGTCTAGAGGAGGTGGGGTATAAAACACAATAGGACCGCAAACAAAGAAGGTGGGAGTGAGGGAGAGCTGGAGGAGAGAGTATAGTGCTGCCCTTTAAGAGAGAGCAAGGGACAAGTATGTGAGATAGAGGTTTATCTGGGAGGCCATAAGCTTTCCTGAAGAGATGGGTTTTGAGAAACTTCTTAAATGATTAAAGACTAGGGGAGAGTCTGATAGTAGTTGGCAAGCTATTCCAAAGGAAAGAAGCTGCCTGTGAAGTCCTGAAAGTGTGAGTTGGCCGTGAGCAGCGGACAGGAGAAGGTCATGGACAGAGCGGAGAGACCAAGAAGGGGCATACCTGTAAATCAGTTAAATGAGATATAACAGTGGCTAAAGTTGTTCAGTGCTTTATATGTATGGATAAGTACTTTGAATTGACTTTTATAAGATATAGGAAGCCAATGTGACAAAGGGGTGAGGTGTGAGAGGACCGATCGAAGAGGAAAATCAGTCTGGTAGCAGCATTCATTATCAACTGCAACCAATTAGGAAAGAATTATAATAATCAATGCGAGAGATTACTAGAGCATGAACAAGCTCCTTACTAGCGTCTTATGAAATATTTTACCTTTTGTTTTTACGTAATAAATTAACATTGAACTTTTGAGACATTGAGATTGAAATTCAAGAGATTTTAAGTATATTATGGTAAAGAAAAATCTTTATTGTAATCACAAATTGCACAATTTCTTTTAAGCATGTATTACACATTCCTTTTGTGGCATATTTGTTTTTCCATTTTGACTGATTTGAAGCATTGGTAAGGTTGTGGCAACATATTAGCTGTATATCTCAACCTATTGTTATTTTTATAAATGTATTTATTTTTTCTATGGGAACTGCATTCTGAGGTTTTGAACTCCAATGCAATATCTTACAGACTGTATTTTTATGGCAATTCAGATCTTATTGAGAATTTTCCATAGTGTGTTGCACCCAAAGTCTGGCCATTATTATTATTATTATTATTATTATTATTATTATTATTATTATTATATAATATTCTTATATGAAATATTGTCTTCTACATTATATGTATAACTCTGTTCAAGTTTGGATAGCAATATATGGCTGAAAACACAGAGCAAGGTTTAGCCCAATGCTCATAGTTTATGACTGCCATCCAAACTAGGATAGATTTGAGACTATTTTGAGCACAAATTGAGCCCATGCCATCGATGATCCCATGGAGGTTGTAGGTATCACCCAGTGGTGTATACAAGTAACACGGCCATTCTGCTTGTATATAGAGATTGTCCAGATACTTAAACCTGCTTTGGTTGGTATTGGTAGTCATTATCTTCCACTCCATTTCTCTTACAGGAAATCATCTGGAAAGAATTGTCAGGTTTAGCCATCACTGAAATTACAATTTCTAGTAGAATTCAAAGTAACAAATCCCGCTTGTCAACTAAGGCTGACATACCACTGTTCCTATCACACTAAATTGATAGTGGGACCCATGGTTCCTGCAATTTCTATGATGTATGTTGGCATTGCATTACGTAGTGCGAGTACCTGAACTATCCTATTTGTCAACGTTATCCGCCGAGTCTGAGACAGAAAAAATGACATGGTGTTAAAAAGAAATGCGAGTGCACTGAACTAAAATTAATTTGATGATGAACTATGTAAACACTTGAAGTGAGCTGGAAGGAAACATCTCCTTCTCAAAGTTTCAGCCATAGTGCCATGCAGGCTGCTATAAAAAAAAGCCCTAGCATTTCTGGCTTGGTAAATGCCCGGCGAGCTGCTCATATTAGCTGTAGACACGACCCTAACATCCTTCAATTCTTTAATCTGCCTCACTCTATGTGATAATGACCATCTGAGGTTAGACTGAGGAAGGCCGCTGATAGGATGCCATAGAAGTACAGCTGCTATATTAGTGTTCCCTGACTATAACACATGTTGTTGGTCATTCTTCTAAGTCATCCCATTGGTTACCACAAAAGTTATATGGCGCAATTAGCACTTAAATACAGGCACTGCCTGTTTTGATTTGACTGGTTGATTAGATCAGATGATCTCCCTCTAATAGGTCCAAAACAGCTCTGTACCTTTATTTTACAAATAAAAATAGTCCTATTATTTTCATATTAATGGGGTAAACTACTGTATTGAAGAAAAAAGGGGGTGATGGGCTGCGCTATAAAATGGATAATCTCACAATATATAGACTATATGTTAATGTAGTACGATAAACAAAACAGAATCCATACGATAATAAAAAATAGATAAAACAAAGTCCATGCAATAGTAGAGATCAAATACTAAAATGTCACGTAAAATGTATAAAATCGTCTCACTGATATATGTATAAGCGTGTATACAATCCTCAGGAGTAGATCCGTCCGGGTTGTGAATAGTCCATATATGTGAAGATAAAAACACGAAAAAATTCCAATAGTGTAGTATGTTACTTGAAATTTATATAAAATGAAAAATGGAGGATAATACACTCACATTTGATGGAGCTTTGGACCAGCTCCAAATAAACTGAGGATTGTATACACGCTTATCCATATATCAGTGAGACGATTTTATACATTTTACTGGACATTTTAGTATTTGATCTCTACTATTGCATGGACTTTGTTTTATCTATTTTTTATTATTGTATGGATTCTGTTTTATTTATCGTACTACATTAACATATAGTCTATATATTGTGAGATTATCCATTTTATAGCGCAGCCCTTCACCCCCTTTTTTTCTTCTTTGCTGTTTTTAAGGGTTTTTGAGGGATTCCCTTTTTAGGGTTGCAGCTTCCATTTTTTGTTACTTAGCGCAGACTCCTCCTCCTCCTCTAAACTACTGTATTGACTGTGTTATAATTCTGCACTCTGTAACTTCTTGTGCGCCAACTGTTTAATAATTATTAAAAAGAAAAAACTAATTTCACTTCTTCTTAGTCTTTCTCCCTCTTTATCTCTACATTTAGCCGATCTCAGTCTCTCCAGATCTGACTTGTTTGTTCTTCTCTAGGTTTCTCTTATCATCTGCTATACATTTGTATTTTTTTATATTTGCTACTTTCTCTGGCTCTCATTATCCCCCACTCTCCATTATGATCTTTTATTAGGTATTCTATGTGATTGTGCTGCTCTCTGCACTGTTTATTCCTTCTGACATATGCTCAATACACCTCTAAACTAAAACTCAAGACAAAAAAAATGCTACATCTTTATTTAGACCACAAGTTTGCTAGATCAAAATTCCTGCACAACCTTTGATATCTCAGAAATCCAATCACTAAGCTCAGAGATGTCTGAGACTGTCCATGAGAGTGGTAGAACCTCTCCATGAGCAAGTTTACGATCTTCAACCAGCAGAACTTCCAAAATTCCAACACCACAGCGGCGGTCACCCATGAGTAAAATAAATAAGTCCACAAAAAGATAGGGTGACGTTCTCCTAGGAGATTCATTGCCTATTTAAGTTTGTAAGATGTAAAATATTATGTAGAAATGTATTGTGGAATAATGCACGTGTTTGATTTTAACCCTGCAGATGGCCTTAAATGTGTCTTAGTCTGTTTTTTTTTTACACATATTTTTATCAACAATATATGTTTGTCCCTATAGTTTGAAAAACAATTAAGGGAGATAAAATTATAATATTGTGTACATCTAAAACAGTTGTTGAATGTATTTATAACTTTCAGCAACCTGGAAGCAAGTACCATATGCCAAACACACTTCGTTAGTTATAAATTAAGAATACCTCATCACTATTTATATTGCAGCAAATGTTTCAAAATACAAACCAAGCTTAAAAAGAATTTAAAAAAAAGTAAAATAAAACCTGTGTTCACTTGAATATCATTATGCACACTGCGTTTTGATATGCAGTTTTAACCCTTCGGCTACTGGATGGGGCTTTGCACCCCACTGACACTCTCTTGGTGCCGAACGAGAGAGCAAACTCACAGAACAATATTTAATCACTTGCCAGAAATGCAATTCTTGTGGCTTTTACTTTAACTTATGGCTGTGAGATTCTGTGTACTAGAACTTTTAATGCTGTCACGATAATTGCATCAAGTGTCTAAGCGCTGTTTTCTTTTTGTTTGAGTCGATGGTTCCATTGTATCATCAATCAACTTTTGTATAAAATCAAGTTTTGCGTGCCAAAATGAAATAAAACTCGTCAGTCTGGATGCAAAATAAAAATAAAAAAAGTGAGAAAAAAAAAACAAAACACTTTAGACCCTTAGGCCTGCAAATTTTATAAATCACATTTAACCAGAGCTCTAGTGATTGAGCTGATGGGAGGCCCATAACTCCCAGGGAATTTGTGTACTGTGGTTGGTCAATATTAATCATAATATAAGTCTTAGAAAGCTGTACAGAGCTCAATATTTGAATTATAAAAATTATCAAAACACATCCATACGCTCGAAGTGAAAGTGATCTGTTTATAATAACTGATCTAAATGACATTACTTAAGAAGCATATCTGACCATTAATTCCTTAAAAATGCTTTAAAGCACAGAAAATACATTAGCTAAACATTTACGTAAACAGAAAAAAGTAGACATTTATTAAAAGCATTTGGATCAAACAAAAAGCAAAAGAAAAACAAACAGAAACAAAAAACAGCCCAAGGTATAAATGTTCTACATACTTCACAATCCACCCTCGATGTGCAAAATTTAAATCTTACAAACTGCACAGATTGGGGATTATTGCTTTGTGTAATTCCTTCTGAACTGTGCTGGCCAAAGACAAATTACACAGTTGTGATGATAAGTGGAACCTCTCTGATAAAGAATAAATGATAACAGCCATTTGAACAGCCATCTAGATCTCAATAAGCTCCTTCCATTCAAATGAATTTATAAATATCACACAGGAATCATGTCTTAATGTAGCCACCAAGCACCATAAACACTACAGTGCGCTGTAGTGGTTATTGTCTTAGGAGTGCCCTGGCACCCGCCAAAGTTGTCAAATCGTTTTAATCCCTGCTCCCCAACTGCATCTGGAAGCCTTGAGCTAAGCGTGGCGTTGCACGACTGAGCTCATTGGCTAAAAGCAATCAGCTGGTGTTTGGAGAGTTCCTTCCAATACCAAACATTTAATATTGAATAGCATGCCACATCCTATTGATAGGCCAATGTGATTTTATTTTTCTAAAGAGCTCATGTTTGACACTCAGCCAATGAATTTCATACGTGGCTAATGAGTAAGAAAGAACTACCAGTTGAGCAATAGAGGGACTGGGCCATAGTCATAAGCACAGGACCCATGTAAGTGTCAAACCATTCAAAAACATTTTAACACTGGAATATTGCCAGGGAACCCCTAACACCAAAAACAATGCCGCCCACTGTAGTGTGATGTGGTTATGGTGCTGGAGTGCCCATTTCAATCTACACCCTAGTGTTTGGTTTGGTTCCTTCCTGAGAGTTTGTTTAATAGATAGGAATGAAAGATGTTGCATTTTTGAATAGCACAATCTTTAATGTTTGACTACATTTTATTGTTTCCCATTCTCCTTCTAAGAACCTAGAATGACATGGTAGGTTTACCTGGGCTAACATAGCCTACTGTTCACGTGTCTCCAGTTAGGCAAGATCTTCCTGATTTGGGATGTACATCCTGTCTAACTGCAATACAATCACTCACAGAAGTGAATAACTTTTAAGGCTCAAATGCTTCTTTTTCTGAATTGTATTCCCACACAAATAACATTACATTACTCTAATACAATGGAAATGTGCATTTACCAAGATGGAATACATTTTAAATGTCTGGCGTTCAGCCAGACCTTGAATTTGTGGTTCTGTCCCGCCATCCTGGGCTTGTGTAGCCAGCACATTATTTATTATTATTATTATTTTATTATTTATATAGCGCCATCAGATTCCGTAGCGCTGTACAAAGGGTATATGAGCCTCATTAGAGATGCTATCTCTGTGCTGAGTAACCTCATAGTACTAAAACCATGACGAATGGGCTGTTGAGTGGAGTTAGTGAAAGTACCTGACTGTTAGGCACATTAGATACTTATATTACCTTACTAGATACCCTGCCCTCTGTATGGACATCTCAGCAGCTTTAACAAACTGACCTACTCATTGTCAACACCCCCTTCTGGCCCACTCATGTGCCTGTGAATAATGACCTAGAGATTTAGGACAAAGCAAAACAGTTGATGACTCTTCTCTCCAGGTGGTATCCAAGATCCAATACCATCTGTTCAAGTGTCTCGAGTTATTACAATCTTGTACTACACACTATTTATCCTTTCTCTTTTCCACTATCTTTCTATACCCCATTTTTGTCTTCTGTCCCATCGCCCCTCACCAATCTTGTGTCTCTATTTATCCCCCCTGCAATTCCACCACCCCTTATAAGTCTCTCTCTATCTCCGCTAATCAGTATCAATCAAAACCTTCACATTTCAAACATACAGTTTGTATTCTGCCATGTAAAGGAATCCAAGGATAAGAAGTCCCACATCAGGGGCTCTCTCACCCATTTTAGGGTCCCCATTTTTTCTGAAAAAAATCAGAGTTTACAATAAAAAGCTGTCAGGGACAGGCTACAGACACCATAACAACTACATTAAGCTGTAATTGTTCTGGTGACAATAATGTCCCTTTAAGCCTTTTTTTTTTCAATCGGGTTCTAAGTCAGATATGTTTAGCATTGTATCCATATACATTGTAACCTTACTGACTGCCTTGTCTATAAATGTTAGATTAAAGAGGTGGTCTGTTTTCCCCCCATCTGTATGAATGGATATTTTCATTTATATACTTGTATCTGCAACTTTACTAATTGCTACATTTGTACAGAATTCATGGTAAAAATGTTCTATAAGATCTTTTGATACATGAATATGAATAAGAAGTGTTATTAATCTCACCTCTAAAAAGCACAAGCTGTTTAAACGATGCGTGCCTTTATTACATACAATTATAAGGAATAATAGTTAATTTCCATCTTTAGTGTAATAACACTTATCTAAATCTCAACATTGTAAATATGCAGCCTGTGCACCTTTTCCTTTACCAGAACATGACTTTGTGACTTGGTCATGTCAAAACCTCTCTATATGCCATCCAGTAAGGGCCACCTTTCATTGCTTGGGGGAGGGAGGTGCGTAAAATCCCCACAGTCACCATCAAACCTTCTGTCTGTCTCTGTCCGTCTGGAATTCATTAGAGGGGAGGGGGTAGGGGAGTAGGTCTGAGTGAGAAGCCTTGTTCCAGCAAGTCCAGTAATGAGCAAGGTGCTCAGGGGTCATAGGGAAGCCAGACATTACAGGCACTGTCTGTTTACTGAGGGCTTAGTGTGACTTTGTATGTGTATTTAAGTAGAAGACTACACTGGGGTAGATTAGATGCTAAAAAAAAAAATTAAGCATTCCTTAGTACACTCTACTAAATGTATGGGTTGTGTTCTCCTTGGTTTGTCCAATGTGATGGAAAATGTAGTCATCCTTCAAAGTTAACCCTTTCAGTTATTTTCTATAAAAAAAAAAATTAAATAACCCCCCAAAAATATTTGTTTTACATTTTACATTTTATATATATAATATCAAATGCATAATTAGAAACAAAATAAAATTTTACATGTACTTGCTTTTGTGATGACAGCTACAAATTTAAATTAGGTACATTTGATCTTTTAAATTCCAGCAATGGAAGAATCCCATGACAAAGCAGCATTTAAAGACTGTATATTAAAATTGGGTGCCGCACTGTTTTAAAGATCGCAGAGCTATACAAAACTGCAAAATAAGCCATAGCTCACAATCTTTAGGGAGCAGCTTGTGATCCTTACCGTGTTATGCATGTTGTCCTTAAGTAGTAAAACATTTTTATTTTTGTCATACATCGGGTTTGAAGACAAAGAGAAAATACTTTATCTTTTGTCGTGCAATACTTCTGAAATGTGCAGGTAAATTAGTCTAGAACAGTGGTACCCAACCCAGTCCTCAAGTTCCCCCCTAACGGTCCAGGATTTAGGGATTACCTTGTTGTGTCTGAAGGTTTTTTTTTTATCTTTCTAAAAACACTTTAGACACAATAGGGTAATCCCTAAATCCTGGACTGTTAAGGAGGTACTTGAGCACTGGGTTGGAAACCCGTGGTCTAGAAGGGCAAATTTATCGTAAAAAATAGGTAACACTAAAATTAAATAATAAATGTCAATGACCTTGTTTATGGCTGTTTGCAAAGAAACTGCTCATATATTGGGGATTATCTAATACCCACATAAAGTAATAACAGTTGTGAAGCTAATGTATGCTGCATACCTTGCCTTGAGTACTTTATTCAAAACAACAGGGTGATATGGTTTATAATATATTTACGGAATGTATGTATTAAAGCAGAAACATATGGTTTAATGTTAGCTTTCCTAGAACCTACCTCTTGGGGTCTGCCATTTACAAACGAGAGAAAATTACAAGAATAAGCCATTGTAGTGCTTGAGTCAGACCCTTTTTAACTCCTTGGTTTCCAGATCTTTAAAATTTTCTGGTTTTGGAAAAACGGCCAAGTAATTTGAGACCTCTACCTTGCATCATGTGCCCGTCTAGCTGTTATTTAACCATGGATGAAATTGCTGAATACACAGATGGATTTTTAAACAGTCACTTAAGGATACAGTGTCTGTATTATATAGCTGAGGTTATTTTATTTAACTTAATAAGTGTCTAGTCTGAAAGGCAAACATAACACACCATTCTTTCACAGGATAGTCTTTGTCCCTTTCCTTTGATTTCACACATTCCGTTTCTCAGCTTTTGCACTATCAATCTTTTCCTCTTTCTCCGATGGTCACTTTATCTCTACTCTACTGGTCAGGAGCCCTTTAAAAGCAGGACTGGTAAATATCGGATCCCTTGGCTATGCTAAAGCATAACTCCCATCACTTGCTATCAGTTGGAGAAAGAAAGGTGGCAGGAGGTACAATCCAATTTATTCTTTCGGTTCTATTTTGAAACAGCTACAAATGCCAGAAAGGAACACACCAATTTAAGCTTGTATAAAACTTTAATGGCTTAGAAGAGCTTTGGATTGTTCGTCAAACCATCAAAGGAACATATAAAACAAGAAGCAATTCCAATGTTCACATAACATTACAACTTCAAAAATATAGATATTACATATATGCAGATATATAAAATGTCTATTGGAATTTCAAATACAAAGTACGGCCAGTTTTTAAAAAAAATGTTTTTTTAAATACAATAAGCTATAGAAAAATATATATTTATATAAGGGCTTTAGAGAAGGTGTTTTATAATACATATAATACAAAGGCAGTGGCTGTCAGCATTTGGAGGCTGGGTATTGCCTATTAGGATGTGTGACTTAATACTCTGGGACGCTGCCAAGTCTGAGTGTTGAGCTGTAATGTCTCTATTTACAATATTGTGCAACGTCGACTGTGAAAGTAGTCCAAGCGCTGCTGACTTTACCATTATATGGCTAAAAAGAGAGTTAACTTGCAGCTGCCCAGTCAACGCAAAAGGGGGCATTTATGCCCCAGTTTCAGTGCTCTTTACAATATAATAATATTGCTCTCAATGATAAGTATATTATAGTGATAAGTGTTTAACAACAGAACAGAATTTCTGGTGCAAATAATTATATTGAAAGATTTTTGGTTAAGGTCTTTCATGTCAAGCATAACATGGTAAATTGCCAGGACCCCGCTTTCTCATCTACCAGCAAGGGCAGAAACATGAATGAAATTTGGTCCCATGCACCCCGATAAGTACTGTAGGGGAACAGTAAAAGCAGCCAGTGTAGTCTTATAAAATATTTCATTTTGGTGTTTGCTCCACAGCTGAATATTCTGCCTCTGATACTTTAGAAGAGTCAATAAGCTTTGTAAGTCCAGTCTTTGATGAATAACGGAAGATGAAGGCCTTCATGATCTCATAGCGGTAGTTCCGGTGGATGAAGCTGTAGAGGATCGGATTGATACAGCAGTGGAGAAGGGAGTAACATTGGGTGATATGAAGGGCAGCATAAAGGAAATTATCTAGCTGGCAGTTGAATGGGATCAGATGTACAAAAACCAAGACATCCAACATGACCATGATGTGGTAGGGTAGCCAACATACCATGAAGACCACTACATAAGAGACTATGAGCCTCCCACTGATTCTGCGCTCTTGATCTCCAGCAGATGAGGAAGAAGATAGAGTCCATGCCAGGAGACAGTAGAAGACTGTAATAATTGGGAATGGAATAATAAATCCCACTATAATGGACAGAACCTCCATTCCCAGGACCCATTCCTTTAAGTAATCTTCTGGGTATATAGATCGACAATAAGTTTCATTGTTGACTGGAGAAGTTACAGTCTTTAAGTAGTATGTATCAGGGAATGACACTGCAAATGCCACCAGCCACACAAGGACACAGACCAATCGGCGTATGATCTTTCTTCTACGCTGACTTGCGTTTCCACGTAGTGATACTGAAAAGTAGCGGTCAATACTCATGCACATGAGAAAGAATATGCTACTGTACAGGTTGATGGAGAAAATCAGGTGGGTGATTTTGCAAGTCATCTCCCCCATTGGCCACTGATTATGTTGAACTAAGGACACCACCCAGACAGGCAAGGTGAGGAGAACAAACAGATCAGCCACAGCCAAGTTAAAAATATATAAGTGAGTCTCATACCCAGTGGACTTTGCCCGGAGGTTGAGCCAAATGACTACTGAATTAGCAATGAGACCCATTACAAATATAAATATGTAGACAATGGACAGGCTATAGAGCAGAGCACTCTTGTTCAACGTGCTAGTGCATGATAAAGATTCCACAATGAAACAGTCACCACCTGAGCAGCTCAAGTTGAGGTCACTGGAGTTTGCACCTTCAATGTAGTCCATGGCAGCATCAAAGTCGGCTACACTCATTTTTGTGACAATTCAGTAACCACCAACCTGAAGAAAACAAAGGACACTGTTAGAACAGGTTACAATTATAAATCGGATTTACAGCAAAACATTTAAAAATGGTTATGTAGAGTATCCTACGTTGGACCATATTTTTACGTAAACCATTTCATTTGTAGACAAGTATCCTGAAAACAAAAACATCTTAAGAAATAATTGTAACTTATTCTGTCTCCACCAGCAACGATTAACACCTAGTAGCAAGACTATTATGCAAAAATGCAAAAATAAAGGAGAAAATATAAAAAAAAAATAGGTACTTAAATCTGAATATTACAAATTTGCTGCAAATCTTCAGCATCTGCATTGACCAGGAATGGGCTGAATTGAACCCCTGCCAAACACTTGGGAATTGTACACCCAAGGGGAAACTGTGATATCACAAAGTAAAGGGTTTATAGCAGCAGCAATATTTGCGTATTACTGCAGCTAAAATGTATAACATAAAAATTTAAGGAAGCTCCTTGAAGCATAACTTGAGCAAAAAGTAAAGGCAGTTATAGCACTTGGAGTGTACCTTTAGCCCTGGTTTGTTAGTAGAGAAAGGTCTTTAAAAAAAACCTGGACATTAGCATTAATAATAGATTATCAGCGTTTCACTAGCAAAATATTTCACCAGTAGAACTTCTTCAACTTTTAAAAAGCCTAGACTGAGACCGTCTTTGTTTTATTCCTACAAATGGAGAACCAAGGCTAAAGACTTTCAACCAAGAAAAACACAACTTCAAGAGCAGACATGCTAAACATGTAAAAAAGATGACTACACAAACAGAAGAAGCACAATGAAACTGCGTGGTTTTAGAACAGAACAAAAAGAATGGGTAAACAACTGAGGAAAAAACAGACGTACGAGCACAGACAAAGGCGTGGGTACGATGATGGAACTAATAAATGATCCAGTGTAAATAGAATTATTGACAGCTCTATCACATAGAATGTATGTGTGCAGTTGTAACCTGTCAACACACTAGACTGTCTGCATACAGGTTAAGCAAGCTGTAACATTCCAGTTGTGGTGAGAATTAAACATTCATCACCCCCAGCCATTTTGGAGTTTACTCTCATCACCCACTCTTTAAATATACCTTTTCTTCGCATGTCTTAGGAGTATGAGAGTAGCTATTCCATACCAGCTGACAGACAGCAGGATTCCATAACATATCAACTAGCAGTCGTAAATGTGAAAAATGAATTATTTTATATATATGTGTGTAAGATGATCACCTATACTATTCATAAAAGGCTTTTGGAGTTCCTATGCATTTCAATGGTGACCCAATTCAGCAACCCAACTTGCAGATCATTTTCAAGTGAATATTTTCCAAATTTGCTTTTGAATAAATATATGTTAGAGACTACTCACATAAACAGACTACAAACTGACGTCTCTTCTTTGCTCGCTCACCTCTGACTGACATCAAAGAACAACCCAATGTGAAAACCACAGCCTCTCCACCTCCTCTCAACAAAAGGAATTTATAGCTGCCCCTGCTGACTGGAACCATGCTCACACTGACCTAGAGTTTGGCACTTAAAACACTGACAGAGAATCTACAGATTATATACTACAAACTTAAAGAGTCTTATGAAGTCACAATTCCCCAACCACAATCAATTACTGGCCATGTACTAGATGGTCCTCATAACGAAGGATGCTTGTAGATACAGTGTTGCAGAATAAAGCATGCAATATAAATAATAATAGCCTACACAACCACATACATATTTTCTAACCCTGCTATGGAAATAAGGAAGCAACACAGAGCTGTTTTTTTCTTATCAGTGTCTGCTATAACCACCAATAAATGTATATCTGAATATACAGTAGTTTGCGGTCAAGTGCCAAAAGCAGGCGGCCTTCAACATGAGCCACAATGGTTACAAGGCCCATATGATAGGTGGATTAATGTTGGGCTGTATTTCTAACATTTCATCCACAGGGGGCATTACGCTGTGAGTGAGCAGGTTTCTTAAACGTTTACAATCAATAGGCTGTTTCAATCTGAGCTCAAACGGTAACAGGAAATCAGTTTAAAATGACCCAGATCTGCTTTTCTTTTTACGTGTGCCCTTTGATGCCTAGATGACCTCAAGCCACACTTGTATACGCTCAAACCCCATCCCCCATAATAACAAACACATGTACCACACGTACCAAGTGTTAAGAGGAATGCGAAGGAAAGAGGGTGAGAAAAAGCAACATGTTGGTAGGAAGGGGTTAACGTCCTTATTGAGCTTAGATGTTAAAAGGCTTTTTAAGTGACCCAGCTGTCACTCAGCATGACCTAGTTTGCTCTAGCACCCCTTTAGTTTTGCTAGGTACATTTTTGTATTTAAATTAATAATTTATTCCCTGATTGCTGCAGCTGTGTAACTGCCCAAATAATTTTTATCAGTAATAGCATATTATTTTAGACTCCTAAAGTCAGATGACATTGGAGACTGTCTCAACTTTGCCCTAGAAAACCGATCAAAATAAACATCTGCAGAGTTATTATATGGTCATACTGTCTGCGTTGCACAACTGAAGCAGTGATAAATATCACAGTGATTATAGTGTCATGGGTTAGTGTGACTCCCAAAACTAGGTGACTCAGTGCTCCACCATAACAACTTACAAAGCTTGACTCCCAACACTACCCACACCAAAAGCTCTTCTTGTGATTGAATACTTGGTGCAAAGGTGAAATGTCAGCCTAGTGTGCATACTCATGTTATTTCCACCCAACTAGACCTGCTCCCAGTGCTGTGAATGTGCTCAAACATGCATCATTGAATGCCCATATATAAAATTATAACATATCACAGAAGGCCTTATGTGTAAACGATCACATTCCAATATGACTTGCTCTTGAATTTAAGCATTACAGTTTTTTAACTGATTTTCCCCTTTGACAAAGAAAAGCAGACCATCAGAGAAATAACTAACACATGGCGTGCTAGGACAGAAAAGAAATGTGCAGGACATGCCTCTGTATAATAAATTAGTGTTACATCAGCGATATGAATGCAATGAATGTATGCTACCAGTGCCTAGAATGTGATCTGTTGTTATATTGTTATAGACTTTCAGAGTGTGAAAAATATTTTGGCAGTAAGCAACCCAGACTGCAGGGAAAAAAAATATTCTTGTAATGGAAGGATAAATAGAGGTTTGCTACATGGTTAGCATCTCTGACTGTATCCTCTGTCTTTAATCCCAATCACAGGTCCTCAGCAAGTCTCACATTGTGTATCCAGTGGATTAGGACATGAAAGTGTGTGTGATGGAACAGTCTCAGATTAGGGAGGGAGGTGGGGGGGATCTGCTGAACCAATGTTTCTTTCCATATACAAAGGAAGCTGAGCCCCCCTACAAACAACCAATTGTTTATAGGATCATGGACATGAAAGGTGACTTATAATTAAAGATCCTTGTCTGTGTACCATTTTATGGTATCAAAGGCAGGAGGAAAAACTACCGGATACAATGTTTTAATAGCATCATTCTCATTATCTTGCTACATTGAATAGCAGGGAATAGTTTAAGGGTAGACCTCCAGCTGGTTTAAAAAACAAAACAAAAAAAACTACAACTCCCATGATGCTTTGCTAGCCATTAAGGCTGTCACATCATGTTGGCCATCTTTGAAACTGAGCAGCACATAGTCTTAGTCACGTTTAAACGTCAATTTAGATGATTAATAATAGTGTAGGAGAAGCAATTATAGTGTACCACATTAAATATGATCAATGGAAGTTAGTTATTAAATATGCAATAGAAGAGTATGTTTTTTGTTGGGGGGGAGGGTGTGTGTGTGTGTGTGTGTGTGTTCGCAAAGATAACAAACTTGTGTATAAAAATATGTATCGGGATAAAATAATCACTTCTCTTTTCTAGTGTATTGCACATATATTGCATCACCAATATTCCAGTCTCAACTTTCCATAAAGAAGGATCTATGTGTAGGAAAAGATGTATTGTGTGTGTTCCTTTAGTCTGACAAAGGAAGAGACCAATAGGCATGGTCTCCCTTGCATTCCATACCCCTGAGCTGACAGTCAGCCCGCTGATAAATCTGCCAACAAAAGGAGACAGTGACAAACATTACAGCTTCTCAGGGTAAATTTAATGTCAGAGGTGTCTGCTAACACAGCACTCCCAACCAGAAAAAAAGGGAGCATTCTATCGGCATTTTGTGCCTTTCTATTTATTATCCTCATTTGTTAAGAGGGCCAGACCTCCCCTTAGCCAAAGAGATGTGCAAAGAGACTAAGGATGGCGTGACTCCCCCCATTGCATTCCACCTTACCCAGAATACAGTAGCTCGAAGCTCTATTATTTACAATATAACCCAGTGAGTTGTGGCGGGAGTATAATATACAAGTACGAAATACTGTTTTAAATCCTGTTCGTTGGCATAAAAAGGTTGAAATCAAATACTTTGAGGTCACATTATTTTCTATACATTCACTCCTAATAGAATATTCTTCCCCTCTCTAATTGCCAGTGAAAGACAAGAAAGGGAGACGGAGCTCTAGAGCAGTGTTTTTTAGCTAGTATGCTATGGTATAGTGCTATATAAATCAGCACAAAGTGTGCTCAATACATTGACATTAAAGGAGCACTATAGTGTCAGGAGTACAAACATACTACTGACACTATAGTACTGGAATGCAGCATTAGGTCACTGGCTCCACTCTCTCTAGAGATTAAAGGTGATTTTACTCACCTTTTCCCCCACTACGCTCCGATCTTGTCACAGCTGTCCCCGCCTCCAAGGCTGAAATTATCAAACTTGACGATCTCAGCCATTCCAGCTACTGTGCATTCGCAGCAGCACGCTGCACCAATCAGCATCTTCACATAGACATGCACTGAATCAATATATCTTTAAGGGGAACTTGCAGCGTCTCCATGCAGGGCTTGGAGACAATGAACGTCAGTGCTGCATACTGCAGAACTGACACAGGTAGCACTTTAGTGGCCGTCTGTGTGACTGACACTAAAGGTGTTACTAGGCAGCAATGTAAATACTGCCTATTCTCTGAAAAGGCAGCTTTTACAGTACGAAGGCTACAGTGACATGCTATAGACACCAGAACCATTACATTAAGCTGTAGTGGTTCTGGTGACTATAGTGTCCCTTTAATTTATATCCTAACAGCATGCTGATTTAGCATTCTATGCCAAGGGAAAATGGTAATGCGGATAACCCAAGGACCATAACTACCTATGCTATAAGTGGAGAAAGATAAGAAGTAAACGTTCATGAAGTTTATAAACATCACATTTATTAAGGGGTTAAGCGGTTTTTGTTCAATTTAACACAAACTTGAAACTCCGGTGCCCATCTCTCTTGCTTTCTGTGATCCATGATGCAATTCCAACACTCCTTTAAATGCTTCTTTTTGGGCAACAGCAACTGGCTAAAAGCATCAGCTGTCAATCACCACCACCCAAGCAAAAGCATAGGAACACCTGCTGCAAGGCCATAGGAAACAAGAGCAGATGGGCCTCACTTTTAAACCATTTAGAAAAAGTTAAACCCCTTTAGGTAAGAACATGCCCAGGTACTCCTTACCTCAATATAACTTCATTAAAGGACCACTATAGGCACCCAGACCACTTCAGCTTAATGAAGTGGCCTGGGTGCCAGGTCCATCTAGGGTTAACCCTGCCTGCTGTAAACATAGCAGTTTCACAGAAACTGCTATGTTTACATATGGGTTAATCCAGCCTCTAGTGGCTGTTTCATTGACAGCTGCTAGAGGCGCTTCCGCGCTTCTAACTGTGATTTTCACAGTGAGAAGACGCCAGCGTCCATAGGAAAGCATGGAGAAATGCTTTCCTATGGACTGACTGAATGCGCATGCACATTCAGCCAATGACGACCGAAGGAGAAGGAGAGTCCCCAGCGCCGAGGGAGCCCGACGCTGGAGAAAGGTAACCCCTTCCTCCCCCTAGAGCCCGGCGGGAGGGGGGCCATGAAGGTGGGGGGGACCTATTAATACTATAGTGCCAGGAAAATGAGTTTGTTTTCCTGGCACTATAGTGGTCTTTTAAGATAAACTTTATTTGAGGAAAGAGAATCCCTTTAAGTATGTATTTTTTCCCATCTGGCAATTATTTAAACTAGTAAGTCAATTTAGCAGAATATATGTGTGTACCTCTCTAATAAGGCTGCAAGTAAATGTGAAGTTTATAAACTTTACCAAGGTAAAATTAATAAGTTTTCGTCTATTTTTCCTCCAATTATACTACATTCAGCCACAAACTGGCTGAATCTTCTTATTCAGTTAAAGCATATCTATCACTCAATGGATCCATCGGCTGAAAGCCACATGAATCGATCGTCACCCATTTTCAGAACCACGACTGGAATAACTTACTCTAACTTACGGATTGCCAGTTCCTCTTTCTATGCGCCGTAATCTATCATTTTCTAAGACGTGAAATGGCGCAGGGCGGAGGTAAGTACTTCAATCCGGGGCCAATGACAGCGCTGCGGAATTTGTTGGTGCTTTAAATAATAATAATGATGACAAAACTAACAAAAGCAGTGAAGCGTGACTAAAGTTCCACCCTTTGTCAACTTTTGTTGTTCTTTTCAGCCGTCCCATTTACATCACATATTAATGGCTAAGGAAAAATATTTTTTTTCTTTGCAAAGTTTAACAATGTATTCAAATGTGTCACCTGTGCGAATTTCACTTTAAAAGGTGAGTTTCACTGTAAAAAATCAGAGAACCTGACATCAGATTAGCTGTTTCTGCAGCAGAATTCAGCTATTGTGTTTATTCGCTGGCTGGGTTAATTATATTATTATAACGAGCTCAACTAGCCTAATAACAAATACATTGGGTAACCAGGTTTTTTTTTTTTTTTTTTAAATAACAAGAAATAATTTTAAAAGATTCAAAGGAGAACCTGTTTTTAAAATGACTCTGAGACGCAATTTAACAACAGGGCTATCGGGTAATCGTGTTTTCCTTTAACCTAACCCTAATACAAAAGGACAATACAGTTCAGGATTATGATATGTTCCATTGAAAAAAAAAATCCGCTCTAACAGCTATAGAACGAATCAGTCAAATTGTATAAATTACCTTCAAAAGTGGCCCAGTTAAACAGGTTTATCCAAATCAGATTAACTATGGGTGATAGCATCTTGAAAGCTTCCCAAAGTGTACCATTCAGGTTAGATTCTTCCTGAACATTAAATGTATAAAGGACACTGGGACCTGCTCACAGAGGGGAGTAGCAGGTAAATACATTATAGAGGTGTCCATCACTGCCTAATCTTACAAAATAGCCTAAAAGGGTTATCTGAATTCCCATTATATGCTAAAATCTTTCCACAGTGCGAATAACTTAGGAGGTAAACTTAATTCCAGGCTGGGAATGTTTTATCCATATTGGCACTAAGTACTGTCCTCTTAACCACCTAAAAAAATTTAATAAAATAAATATATATATATATATTTACAGCTAAACCCCATTTTGTTTTTTTGTTTTGTTTTGTTGGATCATAAAAAATATAGCATAAAACCGATTCAAAATTGGAAATGCAGGAGTTGTGTGCCACATTAAAAATAATATATGGTTAGGCAATAATTTTGTAAGCATATATCACAAATAATGATAATTGGCAGAACCCCTCCCCCCACCCCCCCTTGCCTACCAATCGTTACAAAATATTTCTAATATTTTGTGAAGATTATTCAGTGCATTGAAAATAATCACGATCTGAATAATCAATTTCAGATTTTAGGCAAATATAGCTGAACTGGAAGAAATTTCTAGCTAAGCTATAATGTTACTAGCTAAGCTATTTTGGCTTACAATTTCAAATACACTGTCAATACTCCTGACCACTCAATTGCTTTACATAAGTCCTGAATATCTATGTTTGGAAATGTAGGTTCCCAAACTATCTATAAAATTATAATAACTGAATATGGCTATAATGCTACATACGATGGTCAACATTAAAGTGCAGATGCAAATTGCAGTGCTTACCTGGTGCACATTATATGCAGTATATTAATGTACTCCTTGCCTCAATCCCCGTTTAATGCTCTCCTGTTCTCTACTGTACAGAGTGTTGGGGTCATGCACATTCTCTCTGAAAGCTGAACACAGTCAATACAGGGGAAGATTGGTTTAGTAAGAAGAGGAGGAGCAGTGCAGGAGCATTAAGCCTTGCATTTGTTTTTACTCTTTTGTTTGTTTGTTTTTTTTATTTCAGACTAACTTTAAAGCAAAAGACATTTGGCCGTCCAGGTAGACACATTTTGTAAGGAAGTGGTTACATGTAGCCCGAGTTGTTTAATTTGTTGGCCTTTGAGCTTGAGTTTTGTAATTCAAATTTCAATTTGTTTCTATTTTTCAATAAACCCCAGAGTTTTTCACTAATCCTGAACTTTCAGAAATTCCTTAGAAACCACTAAAAGGCAGGACAAAACAGCCGATTTTGAACAATTCTCAAGCAATGTTTTTGTTCTGCTTTTTTAGCCTACAGTTTGCAATCTCCTGGTGAATTCCTTGGTATCTGCTTAGGAAACAGTCCTATTGGAATTGAATACGTACTGGATACCCGGCTGCAAATTTTAAGCTAAAATAGCCAAGGTATGATTATAAGTATGATTACATTTTCCAGGTTAGTACCTTCTGCCTAAACTTTGCAATTTTCATTTAAATTCACTAAACCCCACCATATCTAATGTTGACACCTTTATACTCTAAACTTATTTTTACAGAACCATGTAGGAATGTAATTATTGACATTTGTAAAGCCATATCATTTTACTGTAACAAGGTTGTTTGTTTGTGTGTTTGTTTATTTTTTGCAAAATGAAGACTAGATCATTTTCATATTATGAACAGATTTACATATATTGGGATATCACAGGTATGTAACTTTTATAAGAAGAAACCCTGCAAAAATATACATAAATGACATATAAATGGCTGATGATGCTAGATAACACTATTATGGGTGTCAGTCACTTAGTTCTAACAAGTCAATATTGCCACTAGGCCTGGATTTACGACCAGTTAGTTATCATAATTAGAGTGTTGCTACATAGATTAGTGGCAATTAAATGATCATATCTTAAGGGGTCAGCTTGTAACAACATCCAATATGTGCAAATATCAGTTCTAATGGACCACCAACAAACAAGGCTTTATTGTGTCCCAATGGAGATATTAAAGCAACACTCCAAGAATCATAATCAGTAGAGTGGTTATGGTTGCAGGAGTGCACTGAAGTCGCTCCTCCCCTCTTCTCCCCCTTTTAAAGAAGTGCTTAGCTAAGGAGAGCTAATGTAAGGTCCTGATGAGGAACTTTGAACATTCTGGAAGTCAAACTATTTAAAAATGGGTTGTCTCTTTACAGTGGAGAAGGGGCACCATGCCCACTACAGCGAGTTTTCCAATAATATATGATGCTACTACCAAAAATAATACATAGACCATTATATAGTTCCTTTAGAATTGGTTTAAGAAGAATTGACATAAGCCAGATGCATCAGGGAGGCTAAATGAAAAAGAGTGAGGACACTATATTCTATAAACTTCTACTCAGGACCAGTCAGAATTTGAAAATATGCTTCAAAACTATGAATTCCACATGTTGTCAAAAGATACATGGACAGAGCTGATCAGCTTGTAAAATATATATGCTATCCCGAGAAGACGCAGTCAGACAGTACTAGATAGAATTTGTATGATGTTGAAAGATACAAGAATATTTGTGCTCTGTAGCACGTAGGAATAAAGGGACACTCCACTGCTTAAATACAAAAAGAAAATCACTATTTAGTAGATATACCATCAATGAAAACATGATTCATTTAATTATGTATTTTTACATTGGGGTTGTATTTAAAAATAGCTTGTAAAAAATTGCAGATTTATTGTCTGCAGCCTTTCAAGCTCTCCCCTACTAAACCCGCCCATACTTTCTGTGGCTGTCCAATCACAGACTGCCCAATGCAGCTCAATGAGAAGTTTTTGCAAGGCAGGTGTTCTGGGCAATTGCTGTCTCTTGAGATTAGCTTCACTGAGCTAACCAAACCAGGAAGTAACATGACCTGTTGTCTGATTGACATAGGATAATTCATTAACGTGCTCATTTCTATTGCCTATTTTCTAAAATGAAAAAAGGGGTCTCTTCACACATAAGGCAAGTGCTTTAGGTGTTTGGAGTGATCATTTAATATCATGCCAGATGGAAATTATAGCTGTACAGAAAGGTATTTGCTTAGTGGCAATGTTTGGAATTCACTACTCGAGCACATACAGCCCATCTGAGCAAAAATAAGGTTTTTATATGATTTTGGTCTGGTGGTGGTCCTGAGCAGGTGTTTGAAAAACACTGTAACATCTCCTAGTTAACTTTGGAAAGATATCAGGACCTTTAGATGGAATTAGATTCACTAAACCAGTAATTGTGGAGAACAGAGAATAGAAGTGTATTTTTAGGCCAAAACAGCAGAATTTAAAACGTTTTCAAATCAATAGATTTTTTGAAATGTAACTATGCTGAATAAAAAAAATAGGCACACACCCTGTCAATTCCCTTGTGTGAATAAACGTATACTCACAGAATGTCTTCTAATTATACTGGTCCAATACTTAATAGGCTAAACTAAAAAAAAAAAAAAGTTATAAAAGTACATACTGCACAGAATGTCTTTTTGTAGCTGCAAAACCACTCAAAGCAATCAATATGAATTATTGAGGTGCAATTAACTATTCATTACTCTGCAAGGAATATCTGTCTCAATTATGTAATGTTCTTGCTAAACGGAGAAGATGTTATAATTTAAATAGTACACCCATAACTTGACTGCCTACGGATCCAGAGGACAAAACTATCATCACTCTGACTCTTTAGTTAAGTGATTGCTTTGTTGACCACCAGGAAATAATTTTCAGTTGCGGAAGGGACAAGGAAAGGATTGAATGATAGGAGCAGAGCCAATGGATAATAGCTAGCTTAGGACAAGCTGTCGACACAAAGCATGAACAATTCTTGTTTTGTTGAAATGTAACTTTTGCTCTCAGACGGGCTCAATCTCCGCTTACAGGAAAGATTTGTCACTAGCTAGAAATATATTTTTGTTGTTCCTGTAATATCCAAAATGAAAATTCTGCTAAACAAAGAAAAAAAGCAAAATGTACAAATATGAAGAAATGCGGTATTTGTCACCATGAATCTAGTGTGATCAAGGCTGCATTAAAGTTATATAGCTACAAAGCTGAAAAAGAAATGCGTCCATCAAGTTCAGTCTTTCTCACATCTGTTTTTGCTGTTGATCTAAACTTTAATGCAGGATGTATTTATAAGGGCACTTTATAAAGCAGACGTTTTGAACTATAGCTTGTGCTATATAACTGGCTATCAAATATACAAATAAAATCAATGTATTTCATTTGTACTGTAAAACTTTAACGTATGCTTCTGTGCCTTCTGCATAAAGCAAAGCTGTACCAGTACTGGGCCTCCAACTATTTGCAAACTACAACTCCCATGAACTACTGTCAACCCAAAACACAACACAGCACTGATAGGAGTTGTAGTTTGTTAATATATGCAGGTCTGGCAAATGAACTGAGGATCACAGCCATGCGCTCTCACAATGCCAAAGCAAAGGCAGTGTTTTGTAACACTGAATGAGCTGAGCATTGTGGTAAATCTAATCATCTATATATTTGTATATTTCCTAAGGAACTCTGCTCTCTCTCTCTCTTAGTCTCTTGTCATTTTGCATGGATTTCTAAAATGTCATTAAATGTCCTTTAGAAGTGATCCTCCCCGAAACTAGGGTAATAAGGCTCCCTGGGGATCTCCATTCCATCTATTAACCTCAGTGAAACTCAGCAGCTATTCTATTCCCATCTCCCCTGCTGACTCTCTCCCTCCCTTTCATTTCATCTTCATTTTTTTGGCCTCTCCCATTCTGCACTTGTTATTCCCTATTTCTCTCATTTGTCCTGAAGTCTTCCTTCAAGGTTTCTCATTTGAATTCCTTTCCGGATATAATGTTATTGGGCCCTCTGGCAGGAGAAGTGTTAATAACCCTGTCCAATCATTACAGGAGAGGTCCCAAGGATTCCATGTTGTAGCTCCAGGGATTTTTTTCACTACACTATATAAACTGTGTTAATGAGGTATTGTGGAATCAGAAAGTGTTTTTTTTTCATAGAGTTTGCAAATTTTAATATAGCCTCATTGAATACATTATAATGCACAAGGTGTATACACAAATGTGATCACATGTTAGGATTTCTATACCCCTCATTACAGAGTTAAAAAGAAAAAAAAAAACAATTTACTTAGCAACCTACAAAGAAAAAAACAACATTGCACAAACCCTATTCTAAAACCACAGGACACTGTAATCAATGCCACAAATGAAAGGAAAGCTGACATTTCGTTATGCAAATACCTGCAGTATATAAGAAGTAAAGACCCTCCCCCCTATTACCTGGGCAAATATTTAGATTTATAATTGCCCTAGAGGACTTCTTTTAACCCTTAACACACTAAGCATACTTTCCCAAAAGACACAAGGTTAAAATGTTATCACATTTTTGGAGATAAAATCTCCCTTATTTGCTCTGAATTTCTGTCAACCTTCAGTGTTTCCTGTGGTTTGTGTCCCTTATCAGCTGTTTGGCAAGTAATTTGTCCATGTACACAATGATAGTTAAATCACACAATTAGGCCTCTAAGTGTACCTGCAGTGTGTGCAATATGTGCTGGGACCTTGAATAAAAGTCATAGAAAACAAATTATAATACAAAGACTTGAGGTGACACAAATTTGGTCACCCAGCATGCAAACTGATTTGTAAGTGGATATTTCCCTTTTAAAATAAGTTATATGTAAATGCTTACTCTAGAAAGTGCTACAATAATTATATGTGGCAGTATGCAATTCTGATTAAACAAAGATTGTGCGAGACTGAGTTATGTATTGAAAAACTAGGAGGTTTTTTACCCTTAAATAGTTAACAATGCTAAGGTGGAAAACTGGTTTCGGTTTCCTGAGATATTATTAAACTTTCTTGGCCTATAAATATATATTTAGTATTTTGTATGTATATATGGATATTTATGGCCTTGCCATAATAAAAGACGTAATCAAGGATATCATAAATGTTAGAAGTATGCACACTTACTTGTATATAAATTTATATCTAATTATAAATTATTTATAATCAACCAAATGCATCTATGTAGACATTCTATGTATTAAACATAAGAAATTACTTTTATAATGCCTCTGAAGTCACTTATAACGGGTTTTAACATAATGTTGGTAATTGCTTTGTAAATGGATGCAAAGTGCCATCAAAATAACTGTACAGTATACACACCATTAGACTAAAGTCTATATAAACATAATTCTGTAAACACAGGTAATCATGTAATGATACATATGGGAAACATTACTTTTTAAGGGTATATTCAATAAACAATTAATTATACTAAACCGAAACTGAAATTATAAACACGAGGCTAGGGAGGTATTTTAAGTATGAAACAAAAAAAAAACTTAAATTCAGTTTTTTTTCCCCATCATTGGTATTTTTGATTATAGTAATAATTAGGTTTATTTTACAATTAAACATTTAGTAAGCAAAACACAAATACGATTGATAGAGTTTTACAGTACAAGCAAACAGATAATATCCAGACATTCCAAACTATATATAAACAAATATGCAAAACTTTCAAAATGGTTTGATCATTTTTACAAACATCAGACAGGCCAGTCAATCAACCAGTGACCTGGCATGAGTGACACATAGGGGTTTTAAATAAAGTGTGATTTGAAACTGGAATTAAATGTCAATTCCGATTGCATTTCAGATTTTAGGTCTAGCTCAGCAATTTTGGCCCAAAATTTTAAATTCACTTTTAATTTTAGACATTTCACATTCTAGAGAAAACTACTGAAGTGTCTGGAGTTTATCATCCATGGTTTACAAAGTCAAACTGAATATAGTCAAAAATAATCTTTGCCCTATTTATTTCTCACTGTTAGCATATATAATTCCATTTTAGAACACATTAAGTCCCCTTTAAAGTCCACTGCATTCTCCAGAACAAAGTTTAGTGGTGTTAGGTTTAGAGAGAGTTGTGACCAGCATGCACAAACAAGATGTGTTGGAGGGAGCTGTAATAAACCAATGATAGCTGTGTACATAATGCCAGATATAGTAGATATAGCTGTCTATACAGAGACTTGAGAATTGGGAGATAGGTGTGTGCATACAGCTTGGCTGCTAAACATAGCTGTGTAAACAGACACATAGAAAAAGACCGTCCTACAAATAAAACAATAGACAGCACTAGGTATTCTTTATGTAGGAAGTCAGACAGATATCTGGGAGTGGATACATCATGCAAGAGACATGCTAGTGACAGGTCAGTCAGATAGCCATGTATATCATGTCAGAGCCATAGCTGCCAAGGATTAGCCATACCTCTACACAAAGTCTACACAGCACTGTTTATACAGACTGTAAGATAGCCGTGTACACGATGACAACATTTAGAGATTGCTATTAAATAAATAGAACTGTGCAGAAAGTTCAGCAACACCACAAAGCGCTGTATAAATATATTATGTGATAGAGCGATAGCTGTGTATAACATGCCAGATATCAGGGGATATATGGATACATATGCATACCACAAAGCACAGTAATTTGTGGTTTATAAAATCCAGCACCCAGAGAGAGATCGGTCGGCTCCGCCATAGAGCTCGCCACGTTAGTAAATCAAAGATCATTTGCACATATCCCATTCATGTGACAGCCCATAGTGAGAGCTAGCTGTCTGAAACAATGTATACACCTTCACGCACGTTCCATTTAACTCTCTGAGCGCTGGAAATGTTCCCAAACACAATGCCCCCTGACACAGTCTTGGCACTCACATGGTTACAGCATGTTTCTCAGCAAGCTCCATAAACAGCTCGATCTGCACCCTCACACCTCACCTACAGCCCCCATAACATAAAGGAGTCACCCACAACCCCCAAACAGCCCTCATCTAAAGGACTAATTTACAGCCTCCCCATCCACCCTTCACAAACAGACCCCCAGGGATCCCTCACCTTAAAGAGGAACTCACAGCACTCCGACCACTACTCACCTAAAGCTGTACCTCACAGCCCCCCAAAGTATCCCTCACTAACAGCCCCCACCTACAGGAGTCACCCCTCACATACAGGAGTCACCCCCTGCACCAAGTCACTCCTCACCTACAGGAGTCACCCCCAGCACCTAGTTACCCCTCACACATACAGGAGTCACCTCCAGCACCAAGTCACCCCTCACATACAGGAGTTATCCCCAGCACCAAGTCACCCGTCACATACAGGAGTCACCCCCTGCACCAAGTCACTCCTCACATACAGGAATCACCCCCAGCACCTAGTTACCCCTCACACATACAGGAGTCACCCCCAGCACCAAGTCACCCCTCACACACAGGAGTCACCCCCAGCACCAAGTCAACCCTCACATACAGGAGTCACCCCCTGCACCAAGTCACCCCTCACACATGCAGGAGTCACCCCCAGCACCAAGTCACCCCTCACATACAGGAGTTACCCCCAGCACCAAGTCACCCCTCACACACAGGAGTCACCCCCAGCACCAAGTCACTCCTCACCTACAGGAGTCACCCCCAGCACCAAGTCACTTCTCACCTACAGGAGTCACCCCCAGCATCTAGTTACCCCTCACACATACAGGAGTCACCCCTCACATACAGGAGTTACCCCCCAGCACCAAGTCACCCCTCACATACAGGAGTCACCCCCAGCACCTAGTTACCCCTCACACATACAGGAGTCACCCCTCACATACAGGAGTTACCCCCAGCACCAAGTCACCCCCCTCACATACAGGAGTCACCCCAGCGCAAGTCACCCTCAGCACCTAGTTACCCCTCACATACAGGAGTTACCCCCAGCACCAAGTCACCCCCCACAAACAGGAGTCACCCCTCCCATACAGGAGTTACCCCCAGCACCTAGTTACCCCTCACATACAGGAGTCACCCCTCACATACAGGAGTCACCCCCAGCACCAAGTCACCCCTCACATACAGGAGTCACCCCCAGCACCAAGTCACCCCTCACCTACAGCAGTCACCCCCAGCACCTAGTTACCCCCAGCACCAAGTCACCCCCCACAAACAGGAGTCACCCCTCCCATACAGGAGTTACCCCCAGCACCTAGTTACCCCTCACATACAGGAGTCACCCCAAGCACCAAGTCACCCCTCACATACAGGAGTCACCCCCAGCACCAAGTCACCCCTCACACACAGGAGTCACCCCCAGCACCTAGTTACCCCTCCCATACAGGAGTCAACCCAGGACCCTTACCTAAAGTAGTCTCTCACCCCTCACCTACAGGAGTCTCTCACCCCTCGCCGAGATAAATCCCTAGATCGCTTTCCATCTAGGCGGTGTCACCGACATATGACCCTCTGCCCTCGCTCTCTCCTTGCTAGGCAGCGATCACACTCAGACAGCCGAGGGGAGACAACCCCCATTAAGTTCAGCCAGGAGTACACTAGTAGTTGTGGTTATTAAAGCCTATGGGGGCCAGCCTTGTATAGATCACATTATATAGCGGTGCTGAGTATCTGGGTCTGCATTAGTATGGAGCCGCTTACCCTGAGCCCGGACTGTGGATCTCTCACTTCTCAATGTCCTGTGACCCGACTATCTCTGAGCACGAAGCTCCACTCCACTGTATATATAGAGCAAGGAAACAATGCACCGCCAGGGGGCGCGCTGCTGTGTGACTATAGGATGGGAGGAGGGCTCCCAGCTCAGAATCTGGTCCTCTCACATCACAAGCTGGTCCCATTAATAGGGGAAACCAAATAAGTGTGTCTGACGGTAGGTTACAACCTGTATAGAGGACTGAGAGAAGTCAAGTTCATGTTTATTCTGCACTCATTCTTCAAGTAAGAGGAAAATGTGTACAACTTGCTCAAAGACACCAACATCCTCTAATAAATGATGTACTTGTAATTTGCTATTATACATTAACTTTATTTATTTTAAAATTTCTTATATACAGCTTCTACTCAGACCCCGTCCCCAAAAATATTTCCCCCCCAACTTTTCCCTTTTTTACACTATGGACTAATTTCTGCTTAAACAAATTCAACCCATTCAGACATACTTAGTTCCTGACATAGAGAAAGAATTACTAAGGTAGCTTAAACAAAATTCACCAAATAACTTTTATTTTCGTTTGGCAAAAATATTAATTTACTAATCAAATAGCTTTTGTTGCTGTTTTGTGTGTGTGTGTGTGTGTGTGTGTGTCAGTTTTCCAACTGTGCAAATGCTCAGAAATTAGAATTATTTCAGCATCTTTGCTTGCATCACAATAAAAATACAGAGTAATTGTTTGCCAAAAATAACATAGCCCCTTCTGCATTTCTATTAGGGGTGTTTTATCTTCCTGTCTTCTTTTGCAGACTTTGTTTTACAAGTTGATTATTTTAGCTTCACTACTGCCATCTACCTAATTTTACTTTATTTTGTGTTATGACATCTGTTTTTTCATGTCTAGTATTAACTTTCTTTTCTCAGAAAGGGTATTCTGGAGAGAGTCCAGCCTGCACTTATAGTATGATAGTTGTTGCAGTTTTTTATTTTCATTTTTTAATTCTCTTTTTTTTTTTATTACTGGGCATAAAAATTCTTTGCAATTTTCTGTAGGTATTAAAGGACCACTATAGTGCCAGGAAAACATACTCGTTTTCCTGGCACTATAGTGCCCTGAAGGTGCCCCCACCCTCAGGGACCCCCTCCCGCCTGGCTCTGGAAAGGGGTAAAAACTTAACTTTCTCCAGCACTGGGCGGGGAGCTCTCCTCCTCCTCCTCTCCGCCCATTTGGCTGAATGCGCACGAGCGGCAAGAGCTGCGCGCGCATTCAGCCAGTCGCATAGGAAAGCATTTACAATGGACGCGCCTATGGACGCTTGCGTGCTCTCACTGTGATTTTCACAGTGAGAAGCACGCAAGCGCCTCTAGCGGCTGTCAATGAGACAGCCGCTAGAGGCTTTGGGGGAAGGCTTAACCCATTCATAAACATAGCAGTTTCTCTGAAACTGCTATGTTTATTAAAAAAATGGGTTAACCCTAGAAGGACCTGGCACCCAGACCACTTCATTAAGCTGAAGTGGCCTGGGTGCCTAGAGTGGTCCTTTAAAGGAACACTCCAAGCACCATATCGACTACAGCACGCTGTGGTGGTTATGGTGATAAGAGTGCCCTGCCTTCCCCCCATTGTAAGTAGACAAACTATTTTGCAATGATTTTATTTCTTACCTGGGTCCACCAGGCACCGCTCCCTGCTTCCACTAATTCCAACACAGTGCAGGAAGTTCTTAAGCAGAAGATTCCATTAGATCTCCTTACTTCCAATCAGCTAAGCCCTATACTCCTGGGCTTAGTTAAGAGAACTCAGAGAGCTTTGGGCTCTCTTTCTGAAGTAGTGAAGGTGGGGTGTGGCACCTGGTGGACCAAGGTCCTCATGGCACCTAACCACTCCGTGCTGGTGGGGTGCTCTGTAGATAGGCAGGGTGTGTAGCGCTAGATCCCCCCCTCCTCTTGCTACCCTCTCAGAGAGGTGGGGCCTAATGAAAGGGAGGCGATATCTAGCCAAGAGGTGGAACTTAGTGCAGAACACCCCGCCTATCTACAAAGCACCTGGGCAGTCCGCATCCCCCCCAGGATCGGCCCTGCTTGTAGTATTCCTTTAAAGGGACACTAAAGACACTCAGACCATTTCCTCTCCATGAAATCGTCTGGATGTAGTGTCCCTGTCAATTTAGTCCTGCTGTCAAAAACATTGCCATTTAGTAAATATCGCAAAGTTTTGACTGCAGGACTCAAAACACCTCTACTAGCTGTCTTCACTAGAGGGTGCTTCTATGACCACAAACAAGTTGAATATCATCACCAGATCCTGATCATAGGGTGCACTGGATTCAAGGCTTCCCTATGGAATTCATTTTATTGGATGGATAGTCAAGGAAGTGATGATGTCACCAGAGGCGGAGCAGGTGGAAGCACTGAGTGAGTTTTGGCTCTGGAAAAAAAGATAAATCAAAACCTTTTTTCCTTTTTTCCTTAATTTATGGGGGTATCTGAATCTCAAAATATGTTGCTACTTTTAGCGCTATTGTGCTCCTTTAAGCACTTCAATAATTGTTATATAGTAACATTCTGTTAGCATTTTTAGTGTGCTGTACTGCTAATAATGCCATCAACTGGGATCCTCACAAATACCTTTAAGCTCAAGTACTTTTCTGTATTTGTCACACTTACTGCATAGAGTTGTACTTTTGCTTTTATACTAATATTTCTGATCCTGTGTGAAATATTGCCATATAAAGAACATTGTATATTATCTAAAGCTTTTCATTCCTCCATTATTCCTTAAAAGAATGAGCAAATAAGTGAAAAATAAAAACTGTATACATTTGCACCATTTAATTTTTTTATTTTGTCTAGATAGCAATCTATACACAAAGCTGCTATTTTTCATAAGTTTTTATGTTTGCTTTGCAACCCCTGTTTCAAATAAACATTGTAATACATTTTTTCTCAAACAAAAATTGCTTAGTGAATGAGTTAATAAATATCCTATAAAAGAAAATATTTTTAATATGTTACCTATCTAACAGCTGAAGCTTGTCATTCCAATAAAAAGGGCATTCTTTGTATTAATAAATACATCTGTGAATTCTGACACTTCTGACACACAATACCTTTTAGAAATAGATGGTAAAAATATACATCCACACAACTATAATACAGCATTAAAATGAATGATCAGCTTTAAAGGGACACTATAGTCACCCAGACCACTTCATTTAATGAAGTGGTCTGGGTGCCAGGTCCCTCAGTTTTAACCCTTCAGATGCATGTTTACATTTGGGGTTAAGCCAGCCTCTAGGGGCTGTCTTCCGGACAGCCACTAGAGGCGCATCTGCCACGCTGGAGACATATTATGCCTCCATCGCACAGAGCGTCCATAGGAAAGCATTGAATTGCCACGCAGGCACATTCGGCTCCGCTGACGTTGGACGGGGGAGCTGACATCAGCCGGGGAGGAGAAGTCACCAGCGCAGAGGGAGCTGGATTAAGGTAAGCTGCTGCGCCATGGGAGGGGGCCCCTGAGGGTGGAGGCACCCTCAGGGCACTATAGTGTCAGGAAAATCGCTTTGTTTTCCTGACTCTATAGTGATCTTCTAAAGCAGTGAATTGACACACCTGTGTTGCATTTTATTAGTTGGGCTCTTTTTATCTGAGCTATTCAACTTAAAAGGACACTATAGGCACAAAACAACTTTAGCTGAATTCAGCAGTTTTGTTGTATAGATCATGCCCCTGCAGTCCCACTGCTTAATTCTCTGCCATTTAGGAGTTAAATCACTTTGCTTATACAGATCTAGTCACACCTCCCTGCATGTGACTTACACAGCCTTCCTAAACACTTCCTGTAAAGAAAGAACTAATGATTAAACTTCCTTTATTGCAAATTCTGTTTGATATATAATTTCTTATCTCTTGCTATGTTAATAGCTTGCTAGACCCTGCAGGATCCTCCTGAGTGTGATTAAAGTTCAAATTCCAGAGCAAGGGATAAAAACGTCTTAAATAAGTTAACATCGGATTGAAAATTAAAGGGACTCTATAGTCACCTGAACAACTTTAGCTTAATGAAGCAGTTTTGGTGTATAGAATATGCCCCTGCAGCCTCACTGCTCAATCCTCTGCCATTTAGGAGTTAAATCCCTTTGTTTATGAACCCTAGTCACCCTAGTAAAGAGAGCCCTATTTAGGCTTTCTTTATTGCAAGTTCTGTTTAATTAAGATTTTCTTATCCCCTGCTAAGTTAATAGCTTGCTAGACCCTGCAAGAGCCTCCTGTATGTGATTAAAGTTCAATTTAGAGAATGAGATACAATTATTTAAGGTAAATTACATCTGCTTGAAAGTGAAACCAGTTTTTTTTTCATGTAGGCTCTGTCAATCATAGCCAGGGGAGGTGTGGCTAGGGCTGCATAAACAGAAACAAAGTTATTTAACTCCTAAATGACAGTGAATAGATCAGTGAAATTGCAGGGGAATGATCTATACACTAAAACTGCTTTATTTAGCTAAAGTAATTTAGGTGACTATAGTGTTCCTTTAAACATTTTTTTTCATGCAGGCAGTTTCAGTCGCAGTCAGGGGAGGTGTGGCTAGGGCTGCATGGACAGAAATAAAAGTGATTTAATCAGTGGGTGAGGAAGAGGTGGGACCCATTCATGGTTATCCACTGGTTAACAGTGGGTGCTAATGATGATGCCCATTTTATTTATTGATTGGTTTATGAATGCATATATGTTTCTATACATGTATATACAGGTACATATTCATCACAAATGAGCCATGACAGCACATACAACCAGGTGGCACATTTATTTATTTTAATGTAAAAGATCAAATCGGTTCACTGACCCATGAGGTAGTGAAGTGAAATCAAAGAATCTACCTACGAATGAACACGTTTGGTAGAAATCTGGTTACAATTCAGCTCTTGATAAATAACTGAATTTCTATACTTTGCAGTGTAGTTTGGCTTATTATTCAACAAACTCAAATCATAATAAATTGTAGATCCAAATTTAAAAACAGTAGCCAAATTTACATTTGATTTGCCTTTGGTCAATATTTTAATT